ATAGCGTAGGAGTCTTAGTGAGTTCTGGAAGCTTAGCTGTAGACCTTCTAGAAGGTAGGCAAGTGGGCAAGTGGTCAAGTGGTCAAGTGGTGAGGCAAGTGGTGGACTAAGCCGCAGTGCAACAGCAGTGCAACGGCGGTAGGATAGCGGTGAGTCCACAGTCAGTCAACGGAAGGTCCAGTCAGTCCCAGTCCGGTCGAGCAAGTACCACAGGGGGACTGTAAGCACCAAGGGCCGATGGCAAAGGGCAGACCAACGAGTTTCTGAAGTATAAATCAAGAGGCAGCGCCCAGCCATTCATCCATTCCTGCGGGAGCCATGAGGAAGCGCTGCCACAGCSACTTGTGCAAGGAGGTCTGCAGATGAGCCCGGAGGACGCAGTGGGCAAGAGAGGAGTTAGCATAGCGATAGGTTAGAGGCAGCCATAGCTGCCATGGCTGTAGTTAGTAGTGAGTGTGTGTGTGTGCTCGAGTGTTAGAGTGATGCGTGTGGGATATCCAGGGTGATCCAGTGTATGTGAACAGTGAGATGTTTGGGCGCTAAAGTCGCCATAGCCAATTGAGAGTGAACTCGTATCTGAAAGCCATATCTCTGAGTTTTGAGTGGGCGCATGTCGCCAGTACGCTGCGTTGCTGTTCACATGCATGAAAAGTGTGTTTGAGAACGAGTCTGATTGCAGTAGGGATAGAGCTGAGTAGCAGTGGATGTATTCAGAGTCAAGATTCTCAAGGGGAGAGAGAGAGAGAGAGAGAGAGAGAGAGAGAGAGAGAGAGAGAGAGAGAGAGAGAGAGACACCTACCTTAGATGAGGATGCTGGTATGAGGTTGCTGAATTCTGCGCTGTTGAGCGCTTGGTGACTGGATCTCCGAAACTGTTCAATATGATAATTTGTTGGAATTTCTAAGCTGTGCATATCTGGACTAAGCATCTCTGGACTCCAGAGTGGATTTCGTGTAATCTCTCAATGCGTGTGTGTGCTCAAGGTGTCGCGCAGTGAGGCTCAATGCAAGAGAAGGTTCCCTACACAACTGGCAGCCAAACCAGGATGAGCACCAACAAGCCTAGCTCAGGTACACCCATGAACTATTGAAATACAGACCCAAGTTCAAATCCACACGATGACGGAATAGGATGAATGAGACGGTATTTCTGAATTACATGGGACCGGTCTGCTCAGTGACGGTATCTCAAGGCGGTCGCCCTTTTAAAAGGAGAGGAAGGGAGAAAAAAGCATGGATACGGGAAAAAAAGAAAAGAAAAGAAAAAAAAAAAGAAACCAGGATTGGCGAAAAAAGAGTTGTAGGTCACAAACAATCCCTCTCCTACCGTCGTCGTAACCCAAATTGTACACCCGGTCATTATGTATAGCTGTAATTGGTGCAATTTTCAGTCTTGAATTTTCTAGCTAGATGCAGTGACAATGACCGGGCGTTGTTCTATTCGCGGGTTGAAGTCGGGGTAGTAGTGTTTGAAGTCCCTCCACAATCCCCTGGACACACAGTCTCTGGTCGATCAGCGTCACTGAGTGAAACGCAGCGTTCCGGCCCTTCTGGGTCGCTGTTGTGTCACAACGACATAGTGAGTGGTAGTGGCTTCATCAAGATGCCATCAACTGACAAGAACGAAGGGAAGCGCTTGGCTTGACTTATTCACACAGCTTCCTCCCTCCACAAGGCACCTGCCTCACACACGACTTCTCTCTCCACAAGGCACCTGCCTCACACACAACTTCTCTCTCGACAAGGCACTTGGCTCACACACAACTTCTCTCTCCACAAGGCACTTTTTTGCCTCACACACAGCCTTTCTTCTTTCTTCCCCTGTCCTCGCAAGAAGCCAAGCGACCAGGAGAATCAGAGGAGAATGAAAGAAGCACTTGGCCAACAACACCTGCTCCATCCACAAACCAGTTGGCTCATACGACCTCTCTCGTCTCGCACTCGTAAGTGCAAAGAACGGAGCCGCTATGCCACAGAGCAGCAGGACTCTGCTGGCGTGCTGCTCGCCACATGCAATTCAGTCTTTCGCGCTTCCACTTGCCATTCGCTCAGAAACCGGACAGGCACTTCGATTGCCCTTCCTTACGCTCTCAATCACTGGTCATATCAACGCGAGCGGCACACTTTTTTTGCGTTTTTTGGAGGGCGCCACATGCAATTCAGTTCGCCTTTTTGTGGGAGAGTACCCAGAGCAGCATTAAACCTCTGGCCACGACATCATGGAGGCAGACTTGACAATTGAAATTGGCCCACTCCGAAGATTTCTAACAAACAAAGCAAACAAAATAGCTGGCGGCGCCTTCCGGAAAACGCAAAAGAAGTGCGCCGCTGGCAGTTCGTTTTTCGTCCCCGCACAGTGCTCATCTGCATTGGGAAGACGAGGGCTTGGACGTCCTGGTGGCGTAACTCTGAAGTGACGCGAATCGGGACGGATGTCATGGTGTGGCCTCCTCACCGCACTCATCATGAATGATCCCTCGCCTCAACTTCAAGTTCGTGTTACAAGCCGACCACATGCTTGCAGCTCTGCCACCTTCTCGTCAGTACACAGCACTGCCACCAAGAAATGTGTGCAACCAACCACCAAGAAAATGTATCGCGAGATTCGATACCACCTCCAAACCTCCCCCCCCCCCCCCTCCCCCCCCCCACCCTTCACAACAGACTTGTTGTGCTGCGTGCAGCATCGAGTTCCTCGGACGGATGCTCTTGCATCCTCATCGAGAGGTACCCCCCTTTTGTCTCGTCCGTCCTTCCATTCCACAAAACTTTAGCAGCTTAGTGCGATCCCTAAACCCTAAGCCCTGATATCCGAAACTTCTCCCCCGACTCTCAGGATCGGATGGGTTGAAATTTCTCCACTAAATCCGGAGTATGACGGTAACGATTGAGAGGATGGAAAGTCAAAGCGCAAAAAAGTCAAAGCGTCAATCTTGCGCTTTGACTTTCCGTCGTCTCTACCCTCTCAATCTTGCGCTTTGACTTTGACCCTCCATCCTCTCAACGAGTGCTGCGACATCTGCCTTCAACTTACCGAGTTCGTTTTCTAGCTCCCGAATCCTTTCGACTTGCTGGCTCTCCTTGAGTCGATGCTCTTCTCGAAGTGCATCGAGTGCCGCCATGCATTTCAGCTCAAGGCTGGCTGCCAAGCCGGCGGCCACCTGCTGAATTCTCTCCTCGCACTCTGGCTCCGCGGCTGCACAGACAGCCTCCTCTTCTTCAAATTCCAAAGCCTTTTTTCTCCATGCCAGCAGCGAAGGTTCATCCGAATCGCGATTGGTTGGTGTGTGTCCTCTCAATGCAGCAAGTGCCTGCATGCATCTCAGCTCCAGATGGGCCGCCAGGCCAGACGCCACCTGCTGAATCCCCTCCTCCTCACACTCTGGCTCTGATGCACAGACAGCCTCATCTTCAATCTTAACAACCCTTTTCCTCAATGCCAGCAGTGCTGCTTCATCGATATCATTGGTTGGTGTGCGCCCTCTCAAAGCATCGAGTGCCCCCATGCATCTGAGCTCCGGGTCGTCCATCAAGCTGGCTGCCACCTGCTGAATTCTCCTGCTCTCGCACTCTGGCTCGGCAGTGTCGGCACAGACACTCTCATCTTCTTCAGTTTTCAAATCCGTTCTTCCTGATATCAGTACGGTTGGTTCATCCGTAATATCCGTAGATGTGTGTTCTCTCAATTGTCTGAGTACCTGCATGCATCTCTGCTTCAAGTCAGCAGCCACCTGCTGAATTCTCTTCTCACACTCTGGCTCCACCCCACAGACAGCCTCATCTTCAATCTTCACACCCGTTGTTCTCGCTGCCAACGGTGCTGGTTCATGGGTATCCTTGGTTGGTATCTGCCCTCTCGAAGCATCGTGTACCCCCACGCATCTGAGCTCCTGGTCGGCCGTCAAACCTCTCGCCGCCTGCTGATTTCTCTTCTCACACTCTGCCTCCTCCGCCTCACAGACAGCCTCATCTTCAATCTTCACAACCCTTTTCCTCGATGCCAGCAGTGCTCGTTCGTTGATATCATCAGCTGGCGTTTGCGGCCGAGGCCTTTTGCCAAAGAAAGTTTCTCTCTGAATGTCCGCTTCACTTTCCTCTTTTCCTCCTTTAGTTACCACCTGCAGCACAAAGAACTCTCCCTCCCTCCCGAAAGCAATCACGTCGTCTGATCGTTTGCACGGAGCAATGTCTTGGAGATCGAAGCTTATCTTCGTGTTGTCGTAGACCGAAACCAGCTGAAGGGTTGACTCATCCCAGACCCTAATGTGACTATCGTCATCCGATGAGCTACAGATGTACGGCAAGCGTGGATGGAAGAAGGCGGTCCTGCCGCTGTGAAAATCAAACGCAGGGGTCATCAATTTGCCTAGGCAAACCCCCTTCCTATAATCCCAGACTAAAACAGTTCTTTGTTCTTGAAGCGAATTCAGCATCTTGTGGCACGACAGCAGCAACGATTTCTGTCGTCGGCTGCAAAAGTCCAGTTGTAAAGTTACCCCGTCGCCGCAAACCAGGGTTTGAACACACGACCTCTTGCTTATGTCCCATATCTTGATCAAACCACTCCTCGAAGCGCTTGCGAAGACGTTCCCATCCGCCGGATGAAACGCCAACACCCCGCGCACCCCCACCGCATGTCCCTCGAAGGTGATCATTTCCCATCCTTTCTCCCAGTCCCACAGAACCACGGTTTCGTTGAAAGCCCCCAATATATACGGCAGGCTAGGATGAACTACCATCTCTCCCTGCAGGCAGTACTGATGAGGATGCTCCAGCACTTTGACAGTATCCAAGTGGGCCGATATGGTTTCGTAAACGTAGGCCTTCCCATAACACTGAATCAAAATCCAATCTTTCTGTGCAATAAACTTTGCACAGAAAATGCTATGGCCCCACGGAGGGAGGGCCTCGGCAGGGATCTCCCACGAGTCGACAAGCGTGCCGTCTTCGTAGTCCCACACCGCCAGACATTTGCTGGTCGGCGAGAACAGAACCCATGGCTCATGAGGATGCACATCGATCCAGTACGTACTTACTTTCGCAAAGCCGCAGAAATCGGCAGTAACTGTCCACTCCAACTTCGGCACTAATCGGACACCTGATTCTCCACTACTAGCGTTGGCCACGTTCGCCATGGAACCCTTGGCACTGGCAACTGCACATCGATCCCAGTTCCAGTTGGGCCCTTGGGACTTGGGACTTGGGACTTGGGACTGGCTACTGCACACAAGCAAAGCAAGCAAGGGGTAATACCCACACAGCAATTTTCAATGGCCACGCATGCTAAACAAACACACACACACACACACACACAAACACACACACAAAAAAAAAAAAACAAAAAAAAAAACAGACTGATTGTCAATCGGGACATTGATAAGACCACCAGCACTTGGCCCATACATCGGCCGCAGCCCCTTTCGGGGCCGGGAGGCCGTTGATAAATCTCATCGATGGCCTTTGTCGCGTTTACCGCATCCAAAAGTCGTGGTGGGGGGGACCCACAGCCGATGTATGGGCCAAGTACTGGTGGTTTAAACTTTAAACTTTAAAATTGGAACAATAAAGAGAGGATTACTATGGGCTCCTGTGCAAGGATGACACACACATAAATTGAGCAACGGTCCAAATAAAGAGCAAAAAAAAAAAAAAATAGACAAACACATATTAACAAAAAACTTATGGCCATGCCACATGGCATCAGTTGTAAAATGTGGCAGAAAGGCCTCGCTCCACTGCCCAACATACTAAATGCATCTGGACCTGTTAGATGTTCAACACATTCAAAATGTTCGGTCAGTCGTAGATGTATCTGGTCTACTGTCCAGGTCAGATGCTTTTCTGATGACCAGTAAACTTCACAAGGGTGTTGGAGAGCATTTCGATAAGTAGACAGTGACGGGATGAACCACAACTCCAACCCTCCCGTAACCCCCGGCCGCCGCCCCCCCCCCTCTCTTTCGAATGCACTATTCAAGAGTAGTATCCCGTCAGAGAAGAGCATGAAAGACGCCTAAGCGGAGGGATGAGACAGAGAAGAGGAGGAGAAGACTCTCAACGAGATTTATCAAACGCCACCTCAGCATTGTATGCCTTCCTCTCTCCCATTCCTACTTCGGGCTTCTCCTCAAACGCCACCTCAGCATATGTTTGCCTTCCTCTCTCCCACTCCTGCATCGGGCTTCTGCCCAAACGCCACCTCAGCATTGCATGTTCCCTCTGGCATCTTCTGACATAAGTGCTGTGCAGATCATAACAGGGCGCCCATCCTCCCTCCCCATCTTCGAGGAGACAGCCATAGTTGCATCCCTGCTGACCGCCGACCCCGACCACCGACCGTATTGCAGCCTACCAGTAGGGCCGACCGGTCGGCGGTCTGCCAACCAGTCAGAAAACAACCATCCACTATTTTTTTTTCAGATCTGAGTTGGAAGCTGTACTGCGCTTGCTGAGTACGTCCCAAATCCGCTGAGAAACTTTTGGGGATGGGGGGGTTGGGGGTGGGGTGTATGGGGGGGGGGGGGGGGGGGGGGGGGGGGGGGGGGGGGGGGGGGGGGGGGGGGGGGGGGGGGGGGGGGGGGGGGGGGGGGGGGGGGGGGGTGGGGGTTGGCGTGCTGGTTGTCTGGGTGTTGGGTGGGTGTATGGGGGTATTTGGGGTGGGTATGGGGGTGTTCGTGGGGTTATTAGGGGTTCTGGACCCCAACAAAAAAAAAAAACAAAAAAAAAAAAACAAAAAAAAATTGCGGGGTGCCGACGACCCCGACCGGTAGGTGCCGACCAGCCGACCGGTCGGCGGGTCGGCAGCCAAGCAGTCAGGGGTCGCCGACGGTCGGCGTGTGCAACACTGGAGACAGCATCAAATCGCACGAGTCCTTGCCGGGTAAGTCCAGGTAAGCTTTCCCACATCTCCAACCAGTCTCACTGTCCTGATCCTCCTCCTCCTTGCCAATACCCCTCAGCTAGTCTACGTCTACGCTATGGCCACGCCAACATAATCTGCCTCAACGCTGGCGCCCACTCCCAGCATCTGGCGCCAGCATACAGCTCCAGCAGCCTCGCGTCACGACACTACCGTCTTCACCCGAAAATAACGCCCGGGCGTTGTGTTCAGTAAATTTGTGGTAACTTTGGTGAGGCCCCAAAATTCCAAAAAAAAAAAAAATTGAAAAATTGAAAATTCTGAAAAAAAAAAAAAAAAAGGTTGTCCAAGATTGCAATGCGAGCAACTTTTGGCTGAGGGTCATTTCAGAATTCCTTATAAACTCGAAAATAAAAAATAAAAACGAAAACTAAGGCCAAAATATACCCCTTGGACGTCAAACCCCCATTCAACCCTCGTCAAAACCCATTTACACCCCTTTCCCCGCCCTTTAAAACCCATGTATACTACCTCTTCAAGGCACTCTGCCCATGGAACATTCAAATATAACGCCTGGGCGTTCTATTCGAATATAACGCCTGGGCGTGCTATTCAAAGGGGCGTTCTATTTGAGAAAATGAGTAAAAACGAAAATCTCATCTTTTTAGGGTAAGTTGAATATAACACCCGTGCGTTATTTTCGGGTGAAGACGGTAGCATCAAGCCAGCGCAAGGCAGCATGATTTCCAAGCAGGTCCTGGGTCAACTCTTTATAGTGTTGACTTGCGTCGACCAGCCTTCAGTCTCCTTGGGTCCGGGTCCACGGCCCAGATGATCCAAAAACCAATGGCCTGGATGCAGCGCAGTCCCAGCTTTCCCTCGTGTCCCACTTGGACTGGAATCTTCTCGATATCTGCAGGCAACCACTGATGTGCATCTGATCGACGGCCGTGGTTGACCACGGGGTTGACTTTGACCTTGGGACCGGAATCCCCTGCTTGGGTTCACTCTTGAGTTACCAAGAGTCAACTGTCTCACGTTGGGGTACTGGACACAGCTTTTGGACTCAAACCTTGGTACACCTTGACGCTACAGTCTTCCCCCCAATACAACTGAATTTGGTGTCGCTGTCAGTCTAAATTCAGCTATAATGACCGTGCGTTGTATTCGGGGGAAGACTGTAGGCACTTTCCCAGATATGTCTCAGGCTACGGACGTGACTTTTGAGTCTTGACTCTTGAGTCTTGAGTCTTGAGTCTTGAGTCTTGAGTCTTGACCCCTATTTCTGGCCTTTGACCAAAAATGACAACCCTTGTGCCGATCTGAACTGGGTTTATTTAACATTATTACAGTTTTTTAAAACTTCTTTCTAAAAAAAGAAAAAAAAAAGCATGCTCAATGACCACCACAAACTCTGGAAGCACCTCTAAAAATTCAACAAAAGGGAATTGGCAAGGCATGCAAAAGTGTCAGAAAGTTACAGAACTGTCTCTTATACACATCTAGATGTGTATAAGAGACAGGCTCTTCCCTAACTTAGGGTTCTTCCCTAACTTAGGGTTAGGGTTTACCCTAATTAGGGTTTCCCCCAATTAGGGTTTTGGGGTTTTACGCGCGACCACACGCCACCACGTCCGACTTCTTGAGGCAAAAAATTTTCCGTCGGTTTGTAGTCAGTTAAAAGCCGGGTTCCAACGGATCACTTTTGCCGACTTCTGTTTCCCTTTTATTTTTATAAAAATACAAAGAAAATCACTGATTCTTCTTAATTTTCCCCTCTTTTCCTGTCTGTTGGCGGTCACCCCTCATCCAAACGGTGTCCGTTCTCCCCGATTAAGGTCTCAAAATGTCGAGAAAAATACAAGGACCAACTTTGGTCCGCGCGGGGTTCACCTAATTTCGCTTCTTTTCTTCGTAATTAAAATAAAAGGAAATTAATGATTTTCGGAATTTTAATTAAAAAATTAAAAAAAAATCCATATCTCCTTTTCTAACCATTAAAAGTTTTCAAAAAATGTCTCAAAACGTTCTCCTTGACGAGAGGTCGAACTTTGCTCCCAGTGCGCCTCGCGCAAAAATGCACGGATCAGGAGATATCAAGGAAAAACCAATTAAAAATTTTAATCCATTATTTTTGGGATTTTTAATTAAAAAAATACAAAAAATTCCATATCTTTTTTTCTAGCCATTAGAATTTTTCAAAAAACGTCTCAAAACGTTCGCCTCGACGAAAGGTCGAACTTTGCTCCCGGTGCGCCTCGCGCGAAAACGCGCGGATCAGGAGGTAACGAAAAATCAGAATAAAAAATTGTAAAAAAATTAAAAAAAAAAATAAAAATCAACTAATCAACTTTTTAAAAGCTAATTAGTTTCACTCCCGCACCCCCGTTGATTGGGGAAGGCCGTGGCCTTGGGGGTGCAGTCCCCTCCCCGGCAACAGCGCCAATGTTGTGGGGAAACCCGGGGAGGGGCGCCCACTTGTCGTTGAAGCCAAGGGCAACGGCGCCTGTCACTCGCCGTGCCCGCTTCCGAGGTCCTCAGCGACCAACAGAAAAGCCTTTTGTGTGTTGTCTGTCACCCGTCTTGTTTTAAACAAATTACATTGTTTAGTTCAAATGTTGTTTCCTTCAAGATATCTTGGAATCCACGTGAAATCTGATCAGGAGTGCTTTACTCTTGTGCTTCAGGGCAGTCCGTTAAAAGAGAGGAACATGATAATACAATTAAATAAAAGAACCGAGTGTTGAACAAGGCACTAAATTTGACCGACTTTTAAATGAAGAGTACACAAACAAACANAGAGAGATGAGCGATACAAGATTGGCTGTTACGTACCTGTGAAGTTGCCACGCAGTCCACGAAGAAGAAAGACAGCGGCCATAGCCGCAGAGCCGGTACCACGGAGTGACGAAGTAGGAGGGAGAAGGACAGAAGGGGAGAGACCGAGAAGGGAGAGGAAGCGGCCATAGCTAAGAGGTGACGAGGAGGCCGACAAAAAAAAGAAAAAAGAAAAAAAAGAAAGAGAAAGAACAAGACAGCGGAGAGAGGAGGTGAGGGAGGTAAGGAAGAAGAAGGGGATTGGCGAGGAAGAAGTGCCGGCAGCCATAGCTGACCGGGAAGTTGACCGAGAGGGTTGACCGAGAGGGTTGACCGAAGGCGTTGACCGAAGTTGACCGAAGTTGACCGGGGGTCATAGCAGCGTTGACCGGCGTTGACCAAGGCCGTTGACCAAGGCATTGACCAAGACTTTGACCAAGTTGGAATTGGTAACATCTCGCCAAGCCCTTAGCCTGCCCCTTGCCCTAT